ACATGGGAATCCCAAAAACAGTTGCGTGAAGCATTAAACAGCGTGCGGTGTGCGAATGGCCCCTAGAAGGCCAAGCCGAACCCGCATGGTCCCATAAAACAAGAGGAGATCCAGGCAAGGTTTACCTAGTACTGTTGCAGACTGCCGACCCTACAGGCTACAACTTCGCAGCACGGGCCAGACAAGGATTTACCCACCAACCTTGAAATTATTACTATCATAGTTTTTAAACCGAGTTGATTGATTGGCCAGTAACTGATTTTAGATCATGTCGGTTAATTTAAAAAAAATTAAAAAAAATATTTAAAATTATTATATTTTATATAAAAAAATTAAGAAATAATCATGAAAATAAAAGTTATATATATTATAAATAATAAAGTTAAAAGATTTTTTATCTCATTTAAAAAAAAAATTATTGATTCATGACTAGCAGGTGACAATTAAAGGGTTGTTGAATAAAAAAAAAAACAAAAGAAATAAAGAAAATCCTGGAGGCATAGTCAGTGGTAGGTGGCATGACTCAAATCTTGAAGACATAAATGAAAAAAAATAAAAAATGCTTAATTTCGACGAGTAACATACTCTGACCATTAAAAAAAAGGAGGCACAATTTAGTTTATGATTAATTTTATGTTTTGATTAATTTGATATTGTTTTACTAGTTGATTCTTGAGTGGTGGATGATTAAATTGAACTTTTATTGTTAATTATTTCTTGAAGTCATCCTTTCTATGGGGATACATATTCTCATCAGTCATCGGAGGAGCCTTGGTAGACAGATACGGAGGAAAAAGAGTGATGGCGTGGGGTGTGGCCTTATGGTCTCTGGCCACTCTACTTACTCCATGGGCTGCCAACCACTCCACCGTCGCCCTTCTGGCCGTTCGTGCATTCTTTGGACTTGCCGAGGGTGTTGCTTTGCCTTCCATGAGCACCCTCTCATCAAGGTAATGCAAATTGCTTGTATGGCAGAAAACTGCTAGCTTGTGACCTCTTCGTTGCTTAACTATGTTCTTGTACATCTTTGATTAGGTGGTTTCCAAGCGATGAACGAGCGAGTGCAGTTGGAATATCCATGGCTGGATTTCATCTTGGAAATGTCATAGGCTTATTGCTGACTCCAATTATGCTGTCAACAATTGGGATTTCTGGCCCTTTTATCCTTTTCTCTTCCCTTGGGCTGCTATGGCTAACAAGATGGGCAAATGGGGTCACAAGTGATCCAAGAGACAGCCCTTTTGTTAGCAATTCAGAGTTGAGATTAATCCAAGCTGGTAAAACTGATTCTCCAGCAAGTGATGGCCAGTTTCCACCACTAGGTCTCCTATTGTCAAAAGCACCATCTTGGGCTATTATTTTTGCTAATATAACGAACAATTGGGTGAGCTACATTACATTAGTTTGATTCTTCACTTTGTTGAATGCTTTGGCGTTTTTCTTTAATATTCTCTTACATGCTCAAAATCACAGGGATATTTTGTTCTTCTCTCTTGGATGCCTGTATATTTCAACACTGTAAGCTCCTGTTTCCTCCTTCTCTTTTATGTCAGTAATGTCTTTAAGGATCACGGTTGAAAGATGCGCGCCTGTCAGTTTGTGCATGAACCAGTTTCTATGGACCATACGCTGTTGAATCACCAAACTTATCCCAGTTTCCACTCTTCCTTATGAATGCAGGTGTTTAAGGTGAACTTGAAGCAAGCGGCTTGGTTTAGCGCAGTTCCATGGGGAACAATGGCAGTCTCTGGCTATGTTGCAGGAGCATTGTCTGATTCATTGATTAAGGCCGGCTACTCTTTGACAATCGTGAGAAAGATCATGCAGTCTATTGGATTCATTGGACCTGGTGTCTCATTGCTCTGCTTAAATTATGCCAAGACACCAGTGACTGCAGCTGCACTTATGACTGTAGCGCTGAGCTTGAGCTCTTTCAGCCAAGCTGGCTTTCTTCTCAACATGCAAGTAAGTTTCAACCACTTTGTAACTAGTTGATTAGCTAGCTGGATCACCTCCAAGTTGCGCTCATTTTCAATTTTTCATTTTCTTTTTTTAATCAGGATATAGCACCTCAGTATGCAGGATTCCTCCATGGTAAGTTCTGGGCATCATGCCGTTGTTTTAAACTCGATAATCAATATTCTTTCAGATACCTATACGCAAGACTTTTGTCACCAAACATAATGCCGTTCTTCAATTGAACATACAGGAATTGCAAATGCAGCTGGGACATTAGCAGCAATAATCAGCACGATTGGAACAGGTTATTTTGTTCAGTGGTCAGGATCTTCCCAGGCGTTCCTCAGAGTCACTGCAGGGCTCTATTTCGTTACAGCCATCTTTTGGAACTTGTATGCTACAGGAGAGCGAGTTTTCTAGACCGAAATCAAGTGTAAATGAAGTCTCCACTGCTCTGGAAACAGCACAGGTCTAGAACTAGGAATTATTATATCAATGAAGGTAAACTAGTTACAAAAGGGTGAAGAGCACGAGTTCACGTAGGTTAAAATCTTAATTCAAATATTATAGGCATGAAATGTTTACAATGAAGGGAATTGGTGGTGTATAGTATGTTGCATACGCGCGTGCAGCATTCATCTCTGTCATTCTTTTAATGGTTCTTCACTTCGATATATCCATCAGAATGAGCTTGTGAAAGAAATATTGGTGTCACAAAAACATAAATCATCATTTTCCTAGCTTGTTATCCTTCAAGCTTGTGCAACACACCAACTCTAAAGAGTCGAATCTTCAATTTTGATTACAAACTCTGCTTTGCACACCCTCCATCTTGAGTTTTTTGGGCGTGCGTTGACGATTTTGATGAGTGTTTTTGACTATTTTTAAACATTTTTTTAAATTAAAATTATTTATTTTCTTATGTTTTTAAATTATTTTAACGTAATAATTCAGAAATAAATTTTAAAAACTAGTTATTCACTTGAAAACAATTAAGCATCGGGGTAACTTCTCATCAATGAAGCTAGCTCACTCATGCTGGCCCTGCGTATCTTTGTAAGGCGTGTCATGCAGTGATAACTCTGGAATTGACGACCCGTCAATCAATCTAAGCTTTCACAAAAGATGGAGGCAACAAGTCAATAAGGAAAGTCACACCGTCGGTACATAGAAAATTTATCGATTAGATGTTTGATTTGGAGAGTTTGACGACAATAACACTGTTGAAATTTCTTCTTTATTTATTTTATAGGGATTTAGCTTAGTTACTATTGTATACTTATTCTCTAAATAAAAAAAATTAAAAGAATATTTTTTTATTTACATCATGGAAATTCTTATAAAAAACATATAAAAAAATTAAAAAAAACTCAATATTTAATAAATTCAATGTTGATGGCTGAGATCAATAAAGAAAATAGGTATAAAGAAATTTTAAAAAATAATAATAAAGAAGCTTAATCTTTAATAAATCTAATATTAAATAATAAAATTAAAAAATTAAATAGGTGAAAAAAACACACAAAAAAGGTTATATCAGTCTATGTTAAAATATTATATATATGACTTGGATCATGAAATTAGGATAATCATACTAAAAAAATTAATGAATTCCAATTCTAAACAATCAAATATTAAATGATAAAATTAAAAAAATTATAATCATACTGAAAAAAATTAATGAATCTCAATTCTAAACAAATTAAATATTGAATGATAAAATTTAAAAAAATTAATTTAAGAAAAGGAACCAAGCAAAAAAAATAATAGTCAAATCAGATATAAAATAAAATAATAAGAAATGAAATTAAAAAAATAAGTTAAAAAATAGCAATCAAAAGAATTAATATCATATTTAATATAAAAATCAAATAGAACAAAATGTTAAGGGATGAAATTTAACAAAATAATAAAAAAAAAGATTTAAAACAAAAAAAAAACAATCAAAAGAATAAGAATCACATTTTAAATAAGAGAAAAATGGAGCACAACCTTTGATTTTGGCTAGGCTATCATAGTTTCCAAAGGGAAAAGAGAGAAAAAGTAAAGGGAGAAAAAATTTAATTATTATCAACCCACCGTGAAAAGCCTCATATAAGCTACCCAATTAGATATGCCTCTATACAAGAAGTTAAAGAAGATAGTGGTTGACCTTTTACTAGAAGACATTGCATGTGCTGCTGAAAAGGTATGAACAACTCTTATCCGATGGAATGTATACTATATGTACTAGGAATTCTCATACTAATTTACAATCAAGTCATTCTTGATTAAAAAATACCTATATATTATTTCTAAGTTTCACTCATACCTCCATATATGAGAACAACTATATTTTTTTTTATTAAAAAAATATATAATAAGTATTAGTCTCAATAACTCTAATTAATATATAGTCTTAACACAACATTAATAAGGAATATTTGAAAACAATACTTTGATATAATATAAATTCTCATAATTATAATTACTATATAATTTTCTTTGTAAAAACTTTATCATATGAACTTTATCTTTGCTCTAAACTTATTAATTAAAATTAAATAAATATTTTCATAACCTGATTTTTTACCTTCTTTTTCTTACTTTTTTGAAAAGTAAAATTAGAAAAAAACAACAAAAAATCTAAGAAATATATATTTTTAACGTATTTACATTGTTTTTAACATTTTCAATGTTATTTAAAAAAATTAAAAATTAAAAAAACATTTTTAACATGTTTAACTTTTAACATGCTCATTTCAAAATAATTGAGCAATTTTATTGAATTAACATTGATATTATCTTTTTAAAAAATATCAAAATAAGAAAAATTAAAAAACAAAAAAATTCAGACAAGGAAACCAAAATTGTAATAAAGGAAAATGAAACATCAAAATGTTTTTTAGTTTCTTGAAAACCAAACAATTAAAAGGAAAAAAACAAGTTTGTTTTGTCAATAACTAAATAATTATACCAAACACATGAGGAGAGGAGAATTTTAGGTGAGAATCACACATATCAAAACTCTCGCCCACTTACCAGCTGACACGCGCAAAAAAAACTCCTGAAAAAAAAAAAAAAAAAAAAAAAACCATCCCGTAACCTTCACCCTTCCATCTTCCATACACCCCGTCTCATTCTTCCTCGCATTCCCAAAAAGACACCGTCCCCTTTCTATATTTTTAATTAACTCCTTCCACATCACATCACCTCACCAGCCATCATCAATCACCGTGAGTGGCACTGCAACCAGCTGCTTTCCTGTCCGCCAGCTTCAAAAAGACCAAGAGCAGTAGCCACGGACGACAGCTGCTCCAGTAGCAGACGACTAATTTCAGTTCAGCAGTAACGTGAGCAGAGATTCCTCTCAGCAGCTTCATCCTCCATCCAGCAACAGGAGTCTCTTCTAAGCTGTGCAACAGCAGCTAAGCCTTAGTGATCTCCTCTGCATCAACCGTGAGTAGCAGTAGCAGCTCCTCTCAGCATTAGCAAGTTATCTATACCGTGAGCAGCAGTTCCTCCGTTGTCTGAAGTCATCGTGGGCAGCATAAAACCAGCAGCTCCTCATCAACAATCAGCAATAGCCAGAGTCTCCCTCACAGCAACCGGCCTTCTACACAGAAATCGACTCACCTTTTACCTCACATCACCGAACAACAGCCACATCCTCTTCTCCAAGCAACAATCGTGTTTCACCTCGAAGTTAAATAGGATTTATGATAATAAAATTTAGAGTTTCTAAAAGTTTTAATATTAGCTGAAAAAATCCTAATTAATATAAAAATCCTTGAACAAGGAGAATTTATGATAAATTAGTTTATTATAATCATTATTTAATTGAAATATTGGATTCTTTATTAGATTAGAATTTTTTTAGAATAGTTTAATTCCTTATTAGATTAGAATTGTTTTTGAATAGTTTAATAGCGAGGCCTGTAATCTTTAAGCATTGTATTCAAGTTGAGGGAGATATAGAGAGAAGCTATATATATATATATATATATATCTTTTGAGAAAATTCTTAATAAAATATATTTCATTTTATTTTTATTCTTGTTCTTTAGCTTTGTGTTTTTGTTTATTCCTATAAATTAGTTATTATGTCCTATCCTTTCTTTTTAATAAGAAGCATCAAAGCTTAGATTTAATTATTTAACATAGCCAATTCAAACTCGCTACTTTAATATCCTAAGTTGACAAAGTACAATTATCAAACTTAGTATATTTGAGTAAAAATTTGACTAGATTTTCAAGATATATGAGAAAACGGTTAAAAAAGGCTTTGAGAAGTCTATAAATAGAGTAATGTTGACTTCATTTAAAAAACAAATCGTGCAAAAGACATGAAAAAAAGACCAACTAGTACTAACAATCATTAACCAATATTTAGATGACACCATTTTTGAAATAGTGGCTAATGCAACCATTACCAAGCAAGCATGAGAAGTTTTGCAAGAATCAAATCAAGGAGCTAATAATGTGAAAAAGATGCGTTTACAAAAACTACGTGGTGACTTTGTAAAGTTGCATATGCTTGAATCAGAAAATATTTTAAAATACTTTGCAAGATTATTGGTCATATATAATCAAATAAAGAGATATTGAAAAGACATGTATGGTAGAGAAGATCATATACTCGTTGCAAAAGAAATTTCATTATATGATGATTGCGATATAGGAATTGCAAAATATGAATTTTCTTTCAGTATAAGGTCTCATGAGAAAATTACAAACGTATAAGGAAAGAGTTATTGGGATTTTAGAAGATGTGGGTGCACAAACATTTTTTTTAAAACAAGATGGTTTTGGATATTCTTAAGGAGAAAAAGAAAGATTTGGAAGAGGAAACAAAGGTAACTCCAACAAATCAAATAGTTGACCGAATGAAGGGAACCGGTTGACTAACTTAATTGGTAGCAACTATTCGAGATCCAGATTTGACAATAAATTTGAAAAATTAAAAGTTAAATGCTATAATTGTCAAAAAATAGGTCATTATGCTAGGAATTGTTGGAATCCAATCAAAAGGGTTGAAGAGAATGTTAATCTTATGATAGAAGAAAAGAAGGAAACTACTCTACTACTAGTGCATAATGAGAGAATCCAAGACAAAGAGAACATGTGGTACCTAGATAATAGAGCCAATAACCATATGTGTGGAGACAAAAAAAAATTTATAGAGCTTGATAAAGTAATTAAAAGTAATATCACCTTTGTAGATCATTCAAAGGTTATCATCAAAGAAAAATATAATTGATTAAATTAAAAGATGAAAGTTATCAATTTATTGGTGATATCTATTATATACCAATGATAAAAAGTAATATATTGAGCTTAGGGCAATTACTGGAGGAGGGATATGAGATTAAGATGAAAGATCATTTTTTGACATTACTTAACACTAAAAGAGTCGAAATCTTAATAAATAAATAAAAAACTCTGAAATTTTGTATAGCTATTTTGATTTTCAAGGGAAGAGAAAGAAAAGTGGGAAGAGATTAAAAACAAGATCATCAACGTTGAGTCGACACTTTGACAATACCACATGCCACTCCACCATAAAGATCTTGACATAGAGATTCTAATGACACAATAAGTGAAAATTTTTTATTATCAAGAGGCACCACATGCATCACTCAAATGTTATAGGCATTGATCATTTTTGTTTTTTTATTATATTTTATATTTATTTAAATATCAAATTATTTTTTAGCTACTTAAGTATAATAAAAAAAAGTAGGAAAGTACGGAAAAGTCATGCTAATTTAAAAATTTTCACTTTCATTGGTATTTTAATAGTTTTATTATGCTTTCAAAATATATATATAAAAAAATATTCATCTCCGATGAATCCGGTAATAACTAGTAAATCTTGTAAATCTCGCTGCCCTAATAATAGTTCAATGGTTATTAGTGGGAAAAACAAAAAGTCATTAAACAGTTCTAGTGAACAGTGTTTTTCAAGGTCTACGAGGTTTTGTAGTTTTTTTTGAATAAAAAAGCATAGAATAAAATATTCCATAATTTGCATGATTAAAATTATTTATTTATTTTTTTTGCTTTTTTTTTGTTGATTTTTTTTTATTGGCTTTTATCGTTATCCCAAATCACAAGTTTTCTCCGTCACATATTTGATTATTTTCAAGTGAACAGAAAACCTACTTTGTTTTCTCCACTGATAAAAAGAGACAGACAGCAACTATTCACCTTGCAAACTCAAAACCACTCACCCTATGTTTATTGGTTGTTGGATCTACTCAATTACACCAAAAAAAAAATAGCGACTTTCTTGCTTTCTGCTTAATTACATCACTTTATTGCTCTAGGTGGGGAGTTGAAAACATTCTTGCTCGGATTTTCAGTCAAACTCCAGCCAAAAAAATCGCTTTCTTTCTGGCTCCATTTCCTGTCTCAACTCTGAAGCTTATAACCTTCACCAAACCACGTCAAAAGGTTCACATCCTCTCCCTCTCTTGCTAGCCACACCGAGCCCTGGTGGGATTTTTGCTCTATTTCTCTGAAAGATCGTCTAGCACTCAGGAAGTCGAGCTAGAAGTCAAAGCAGCCAAGATTCTTGAACTGGGCTCTCTTCTGTGTGTTGCTTGTTGAAGATGATGAATTTCAGGAGCTTAGATGAGTTTTGGTCATTCTACGTGACTCAGCATTCAAAACCATCAACAAGACGTTGGCATTTTGTGGGCACTCTTGCAAGCATGCTGCTACTGCTGAACTCTCTTGTTTTCAATCTGTGGTTTTTGTTCTTGGTGCCATTCGTTGGGTATGGATGCGCCTGGTACAGCCATTTCTTTGTGGAAGGGAATGTTCCGGCAAGTTTTGGGCATCCAGTTTGGTCTTTTTTATGTGATTTCAAAATGTTTGGATTGATGCTTACTGGTCAGATGGATAGAGAGATCAAGAGACTCGAGAAGAGGCCTGTTTTACAGGGATTTTGATCATGTTCTAAGCACTTTTCTGTTTTACCAATCAAATAATCATGCATGGAAAATCTCATTCACTCTTGGTGACTTTTTGAGATTCTACTGTTTCTTGGGAACATTACAAAATAAACTTATCTCTTGTTTCTGTATTTAAACCAATGAGAATTTCATTAGTAATTTTGTTTTTCGTTTTATTCATCATTTTTTTTTATTGTATCTTTGTATCTTTGCATGTGTTTATATATATTGAGTCAATAATTTTTATCTTCGCATATTGCCTAGCATTAGAAGGGTTTGAGAAATAACCACTTGTTTGGGAACGTTGTTGGCTGGGCGTTTCTAAAATTTAATATTTTTTTTGTTTAAAAATAATATTTTTATATGTTTGTAAATTATTTTTATGTATAGATATTGAAAATATTTTTTTAAAAAAATAGATATTATTTAGATGTATTTTTAAACAAAAAATAATTTAAAAAACAACTATTATCACAATATCAAACATGCTTTTAAAAATAAGAGAAAAATAGTAGAGTTTGATTTTAAAAATAAGAGAAAAATAGTAGAGTTTTTTTTATATTCTCAAAAAAATATGTTTGTTCATGTATTATTTGTTAACTCTTTTTTATGCTGATTTGTTTAGAATTTTATATTTTGACTCAAAATTTTATTCTATTATTTTATTTATGATTTAGATTTTAAGTTTCAAAAAAACAATTGATAGAAAATAAAAGATAAAAAGGAGGATTGTCATTTAACCACATTCTAATAATAAAATTTTCAACCTTATTATTAATAGGCTGAATTTGACAAAATAAGTGTGAATAATGTTTTTTTAATTATTTATCTTACACTAAAAAATAAATTAGATTAAAGGTTTTTTGAGATTAGAAACTGATTTATAAAGTTTCTTATATTGTTTCTTAAGTGTTTTTAAATGAAAATAAATTAAAAAATAATTTTACATTAGAGAAGCAAGGAACTTGTTTTTTTAACTATTAAAAATGGCTAAAATATATATTGTAGATGATACATTTTTTTTCACCATAAATGATGCATTATTTATTTTTATTTTTTTTAAATAAAGGACCATGTTGTCAATCCTATTGAAAAAAGAAAAGAAAAGAGAAGGCTAAGTGTGCAAGCTTGATCTTGCAAGCCCATGATCATGAGATCTTTTTTTTATTGGGCTAGGTGTTGGCCTACCCAAACTCTTGAATTTTTATTAAAATAATTTTTGTATTTTTTATTTTTTATTTTTTATTAGATTTTAATTGTAATTAATTATAGTGAAATTATATTTAAAATATTTATTCTATTAATACCTCATTTGATTGTTGAAAACTAGTTTTTGTTAATAGTGTTTTTCATATAAATTTCTAAAAAATTAATTATTTTTTTATTTAATAATGTTATGAAAAATATTTTTAGTATTTGACAAACTATAAAATCACTTATTAATTTTCTCATGAAAAATATTTTTAGTATTTGATTATTTCATTAAAAACAAACTATAAAATCACTTATTAATTTTCTTTTTAAATTTATCCAATATATATAAAACATTAAATATAATTATTTTATCACTTACAAGAAAAGAATAAGATATAAAAAGAGTAATGATGAGGATTTTTTTTTGTTATATCATATATTTATATATAGTTTATTTTATAAAAAAGTAACTATATATTTAATAGAAATATTTTAAATATAATATATAGACATATAAATGGTTTTGGTGTTTGAAAAACATTAAAAATAAATGTCTTTTATATGGTATCCTTATTTTGTAATATAATTTATATGATTTAAAATGTATGATTATTATATAATATAATATGTTTTATATTCGAGTGTACTTTATAGTAATATCATCTAAATTAAAGTATAGTATTCACTAATATATCAAATTAATATACTTTTATATTACATATTAATATATATCCTATATAGATCTATTGATAATTTATTATTTTATAATAATATTATATTTTAAAGTATACAATAAAGTATTGACTTTAGTGTTAATGTTTCCATGCAAAGTGTTTTCTAATCTTTTAAATTAAAAAACATTTTTTTCCATCTAAAGCTTATGTTTTTCTAGGATCGAAAAATAAATTTCATTGTTCAGTTTTTTACAATGCAGCCAAACACAAAAAAATCAAGAAAATGCTTTCCAAAAAACATCATTATTTATAATATATTATCAAATGTAGCCCTTCATGATTATTATTTTTTAATTTCTTCTTAAATATTAGTCCAGTTTTATTATAATCAAATAATTAAAATTATATTTACCATATTATTCCATTAAATACCATTCAATTCAATTAAGATTATAGTACTTTTTTACAATATTAACAATCATTTTTGTTGATTAATATATGAATCTACTATGCACTTGTTTTTTTTTTAGTTTGTAATAATGAATATTCTATGAAAATAAAGCTTAACTATTTTTATATTATAAGTTTTTCAAATGATTTCTAATATTAATCATTCTTTTTTTTTTCAATAACATACAAAATAACGAGACATGTTTTCCAATGTATTTTTTTTTTTATTGAAACTTACTTTTCATATCATGCTAAGTTCTTTGTTTAAAAAACAATTCTTCTAATAAAAATATGTTTTCATTATTAAAGGAAATGAATATAATTCTGTTATTATTTTTATTAAAAATGAGCATCAATTTTTAGATTCATAAATTTTTTTTTCATGATACTAAAAATATGAAAATAATATCTATATCTTTTTGCATTAAAAATTAATTTTAGTCTTGCCTGTAGCATAGTGTGAGCAAATTACATGCTCTGAGTATGATAAATAAGGATGGTGATTTTATAGAAACTCGAAGTAAGAAAATCAGGTTTCGGGTAGATAAATTCAGGGTTTCAGTCACTACCATCCTTCTCCTCTCTAGCTGCTGGAGCTTCCTTCAGTTTATCAAAATCTTTTACAACAAATTCTTCTAAATCACTCGCGGTTCATAGGTAATTAGCTCTCCTTTTCGATTCTTAATGCTATTTGTGTCTTCTTCTTTTGATTTCATGAACTGGATCTTCAAGGTTCACAGACTTTTTAGAGTCGCTTTTATATATATATATATATATATATATATATATAAGTAAGTAATTAAATTCAACCAATCATCTAATTAATAAAAACACCAATATTAGTAAAAAGTTTGAAAATAAAATTCTTAATTCATAAAAATTGACTATTTTATAAAACGCCGCATGAAATACAGGTTATTCTTATTTTTAATTTATGCACCATGTAAAACTCTAAATAATATAAATAAACTACTTGACAACTAAACTATATAGAATTGTCCGTTATACTTTTATTATTATTATTATTAAAACCCTAAAAAAAATTTAAAAATCAACAAAAAAAATATAAACATTAAAATTTGAAAATCATTATTTTATTTTAAAACTCATCAGGATAAATTGAACTCTTTATTAATATTTTTATAGGTTATTTTTTGCTATTGTCTTACGTTATTTCTACTATTTTAAACAAAAATTGATAATATCAAAGCTTTTCTGATTGTCATTTAGAGTTTATTTCAATTCTTTCCATGTATCATAAACTAATTTATTTATTTATAATCATGCGGCATATAATTCAATTTTGTCTCTAATTTTTAATTAAGAGTAATTATAAATTATATTATGTGTTTCAAAAATTAAATAAAATCAACTATTATTTGATAAAACAAGAGGTTAATCCAATAAATATTCAAACTTATTTATTTATAAATAATTATAAACAATTTAGCTACCAATTAGGTCTCGCAAGGTTATTAGACTCGAGTCGATTGGGTCTAATAAGAACATGAGACTTGGCTTGAGTTTGGTGGCCAAGATAAAAAAAATAAAAATAAGATTTAAAAAAAATAATAATTAGGATTTCTATTTAGAATACTTCAATATTTTTTTTTTAACAAGGAGTAATTTATATTTTAAAATAGTAGCATTTTTTGAATATTTTTTATTTTTTATAAGATATAAAACAATTTATAAAAAAAATAATTAGGATTTTTGTTTAAAATACTTCAAAAATAGTTAAAATATTTTTTTATAAAAATAAAAATAATTTATAAAAAAAATTAATTAAGATTTTTTTTTATGATACTTCAAGGATATTTTAATTTTATTTTATAAAAAATAGAGATCATTTATAAAAAAAATATTTATGATACTTTAAGCATAATTTAATTGTTTTTTATAAAAAAAATAGAAAAATTAATTGGCATTTTTGTTTAGGATACTTTATGGGTAGTTTAAATATTTTTTTTTATAAAAAATAAAAAATAATTATAAAAAAATTATTTAGGATACTTCAAGAGTAGTTTAAATGTTTTTTTATAAAAAATAAAAAAAATTATGATAAATGTTTAAGATGCTTTAATACAATTTAAATGGTTTTTTTTTATTAAAAATAAAAATAAATTAATTAGGCATGATTGCCAAACAACAAAGTGTTTGGGTCTACCATGGATATCAGACCTAAAGCTTTTGAATTTGGTTTTGGCTTTGGCTTTGCTATCAAATTTAAAAAAAATTAAAATATTTTTTATATTTTTATAAATAATATTAACTCGTTATGAACACTAACCATTATACTAGTCAACACTAAATACTAACATGACATACTAGTTAACATTAAATGTTAACATAAGCTTATAATAAATGTTAACATAAATTTATCCTTATCAACTAGGTTATATACACAGTATAAAAAAATTAAAAAAATTCATTTTAAATAAAATTTTCTTAACCCTCATATATATATATATATATATATATAGAGAGAGAGAGAGAGAGATAATCGTTTGTTAAGCTTTAGGGGCAACCGATCACGCCACCATAAACAGACCTCAGACACAGAATGTTCTAACCCTCTCAGAATGTCAATGCAATTACCTAATAAGAAATGCAATGCCAGAAAAGAGAATAATGCATGCTTCAAATGTTAATTAATCTATTGCCTCAAGGATTGTGACCAGGCGGCTCTTTAGAACATGTATCTGATTTTGGAGAGACATTTGTGAACGTCCTCCAGGGTTTGGTATAGGAATTCAATCCACCTAGTCAATTCAAGTATATTACAAGTTCCAACATTGTACAGCCCAAAAACTCACCTT